TGATTCACCTACAAGCATTGCTACCACTCAAACTAATAAAGCAAGTAGCGGTCTAACTACTGTCTCTTATACACATCTAGATGTGTATAAGAGACAGGCTACAAGTAGACCAACTGCAAACATGGGTACAACTCAGTCAGATACAACAAGTGTGGAATTAACAAATAGCTCAACTACAAGCATGGTTACAACTCAGTCTGACACCACAAGTGTGGATATTACAAGTGGTGGTCAAAGTACAAATATTGCTACATCTCAGCCTGACACAATAGGTATGCTTTCTAATCAGTCAGAAACAACAAGTTTGGAATTAGCTACAAGTAGACCAACTGCAAACATGGGTACAACTCAGTCAGATACAACAAGTGTGGAATTAACAAGTAGCTCAACTACAAGCATGGTTACAACTGAGTCTGACACCACAAGTGTGGATATTACAAATGGTGGTCAAAGTACAAATATTGCTACATCTCAGCCTGACACAATAGGTATGCTTACTAATCAGTCAGAAACAACAAGTTCTGAATTAGCTACAAGTAGACTAACTGCAAACATGGGTACAACTCAGTCAGATACAACAAGTGTGGAATTAACAAGTAACTCAACTACAAGCATGGTTACAACTGAGTCTGACACCACAAGTGTGGATATTACAAGTGGTGGTCAAGCTACAAACAGTGCTACAATTCAGCCTTATACCACAAGTGTGGATTTAGCAAGTGGTGCTTCACCTACAAGCATTGTTACAACAATGTCTGATAAAACAAGTAGCGGTATAACTACAGAAATGGCTACAACTCAATCTGATACAACAAGTGTGGAATTGAAAAGTAGCTCAACTACAAACATGGTTACAACTCAGTCTGACACCACAAGTGTGGATATTACAAGTGGTGGTCAAACTACAAACAGTGCTACAATTCAGTCTTACACCACAAGTGTGGATTTAACAAGTGGTGCTTCACCTACAAGCATTGCTACCACTCAAACTAATAAAACAAGTAGCGGTATAACTACAGAAGTGGCTACAACTGAGTCTGATACAACAAGTGTGGAATTAACAAGTAGCTCAACTACAAGCATGGTTACAACTCAGTCTGACACCACAAGTGTGGATATTACAAGTGGTGGTCAAACTACAAACAGTGCTACAATTCAGTCTTACACCACAAGTGTGGATTTAACAAGTAGTGCTTCACCTACAAGCATTGCTACCACTCAAACTGATAAAACAAGTAGCGGCCTAACTACAGAAATGGCTACAACTCAGCCTGATACAACAAGTGTGGAATTAACAAGTAGCTCAACTACAAGCATGGTTACAACTGAGTCTGACACCACAAGTGTGGATATTACAAGTGGTGGTCAAAGTACAAATATTGCTACATCTCAGCCTGACACAATAGGTATGCTTACTAATCAGTCAGAAACAACAAGTTTGGAATTAGCTACAAGTAGACCAACTGCAAACATGGGTACAACTCAGTCAGATACAACAAGTGTGGAATTAACAAGTAGCTCAACTACAAGCATGGTTACAACTCAGTCTGACACAACAAGTGTGGATATTACAAGTGGTGGTCAAAGTACAAATATTGCTACATCTCAGCCTGACACAATAGGTATGCTTACTAATCAGTCAGAAACAACAAGTTTGGAATTAGCTACAAGTAGACCAACTGCAAACATGGGTACAACTCAGTCAGATACAACAAGTGTGGAATTAACAAGTAGCTCAACTACAAACATGGTTACAACTGAGTCTGACACCACAAGTGTGGATATTACAAGTGGTGGTCAAACTACAAACAGTGCTACAATTCAGTCTTACACCACAAGTGTGGGTTTAACAAGTGGTGATTCACCTACAAGCATTGTTACAACAAGGTCTCATAAAACAAGTAGCGGTACAACTACAGAAATGGCTACAACCGAGTCTGATACAACAAGTGTGGAATTAACAAGTAGCTCAACTACAAACATGGTTACAACTCAGTCTGACACCACAAGTGTGGATATTACAAGTGGTGGTCAAAGTACAAATATTGCTACATCTCAGCCTGACACAATAGGTATGCTTACTAATCAGTCAGAAACAACAAGTTTGGAATTAGCTACAAGTAGACCAACTGCAAACATGGGGTCAGATACAACAAGTGTGGAATTAACAAGTAGCTCAGCTACAAATATGGTTACAACTCAGTCTGACACCACAAGTGTGGATATTACAAGTGGTGGTCAAGCTACAAACAGTGCTACAATTGAATCTTACACCACAAGTGTGGATTTAACAAGTGGTGATTCACCTACAAGCATTGTTACAAGAAGGTCTCATAAAACAAGTAGCGGTATAACTACAGAAATGGCTACAGCCAAGTCTGATACAACAATTGTGGAATTGAAAAGTAGCTCAACTACAAACATGGTTACAACTCAGTCTGACACCACAAGTGTGGATATTACAAGTGGTGGTCAAACTACAAACAGTGCTACAATTCAGTCTTACACCACAAGTGTGGTCT